GGGCTGGAAGCTAACTGTAAATGGTTCCACTGCATTTCTGCCTTTTGTGATGAACCAACACCTTAAGACGTAATAAAAATGGGTAACTCCTGAAGGGAATCTGACAGGTTCTTTGTCCCAGATGTGAAACATTGAACCATTTGAAGGCTGTGGCGAAGATTTTGAAAGGCGTTTGACACAAGATGTACATTTGCAACCCTTAAGACTCCTTTTTTTGGGCAGCATTTGCTTAGTCTCACTTTTTTCTAAATTGTAAAGAGAAACATTCTGACAAAGTTTCTCATCCCACACTGATCGGGACAAACACAAGAAAGCCAAATTTCAAACGATCACAACAATTTATACTGCAGAAGAAAAGGATGCTGACAGGTTGACCATAGACTGACCGGCTAAGGTGTCGCCATGGAGAAAGCAACAGAGAATTTTAAGCTCCTCAAGATCCTGGATAATTCTAAAACAGTGTGGCTGACTTACACCAGCTGGAAGTGATATGCATTCATACATACAGGCATATTATTATGGGGAGCAACAGTGAATGCCAAATGAAGATTGTTGCCAGATACTGGCTGAACTCTACCAGGGTCATCCCAGGGTTTCCAAAACGAAGATGTTGGTGAGAAGTTATGTCTGGTGGCCAGGATTGAATGCAGACATAATTGCATTGGTGGGGCAGTGCCCAGAGTGCCAACGAGGACAAAAGTTACTGCCAGCAGCTCCTCTATATTCGTGGGAATGGCTGGGTAAACCCTGGACTTGGTTACACATTGACTATGCAGGTCCTTTCATTGGTTCAATGTTCTTAGTGGCTGGATGTACATAGAGTTCATTTGTCAACTATGGGGAAGTGGGACTAGTTTAGTTTGGGAACATGGTCAGTGTGGACTAGTTGGACTGAAGGATCTGTTTCCATGCTGTATGACTCTATGGCTCTAAGAGCCTTACTCTGCGATCGGAAGGTATGCGTTTGATTCCTGTGTCTTTGTTAAAGTGGCAATTAGCTGGAAAGGTGAAACTTCTCATGGGCAAATCTCCTGCTCCCCAGGAATCTCTGAAAATGTTCTTGACTCTCTGAACTAGAGTCAGAGACTTCAGGTAGTTCTGCAGCAGTTGTCTGAATAAGAGAGATGTATCCCAGGATGTTATGAGACGCATGTCAGACTGCAATGAAGGCAAGAAAAGAGATTGTAGCGGCTCTAATATTAATTTTCTAATCCCCTCTGGCTATACAAGGGGTTCAAAAGAACTGGAGGGCAGCAAATATGCCATTATTTAAGGAAGTTAGCAAGAATAAATCAGGAAAATACAGGCCACCTAACATCGGTGGTAGGGAAACTATTGGAAAAAATTCTGAGGGACAGAATTAATCTCCACTTAGAGAGGTGTGGATTTATCAAGGATAGTTGGTGATATTTTATCCAGGGGAGATCATGTGTAACAAATTTGATTGAATCTTTCAAGAATGTGACTAGGTGTGACGAAGAAGGTAGTATCGTTGATGTGGTCTACATGGACTTCAGTAAAGCTTTTGACAAGGTGTCGCTTGGTAAACTGGTGAAGAAGTTAAGAGCCAATGGGATCTAGGGGAACTTGGCAAATTGAATCCAAAATTGGCTTCATGGTTGAAAGGTGTTTTTGTGACTGGAAGCCTATGTCCAGTGGCATACCCAGGGTTTGGTGTTGGGTCCCTTGCGTTCTTGTGTACATGAATAATCTAAACAAGAATGTATGAGCTATGTCCAACTAGTCCACGCTGATCATGTTCCCAAACTGAACTAGTCCCACTTCCCTGTAGTTGACAAATGAACTGTATGCACATCCAGCCACTTTGAATGGGTATCCACAATGACTAAGAACATTGAACCAATGAATGGACCTGCATATTCGACGTGTAACCGAGTCAAGGGTTTACCCAGCCATTCCCATTCCCATTCCCATTCCCAGCCATGTAGAGGAGCTGCTGGCAATAACTTTTGTCCTTGTTGGCACTCTGGGCACTGCCCCACCAACGCAGCTATGTCTACATCCAATCCTGGCCACCAGCCATAACTTCTTACCAACACTTTCATTGCAGATAACACAAAAATTGTTAGTGTGGTAAATAGTCAGAAGGAAAGCCTTAGAATACAGGATGATATTGATGGGCTGATCAGATGGAGACAGTGACGAATGGAACTTAATCCGGAAAAGTGGGAGGTGATGCATTTTGGGAGAAGAACACAAGTGAGTGAAGGTTGAATAGTTGGAAGTACAGAGGTTCAGAGGGACCTTGAATGTATGTCTATAGATCCTTGAAGGCAATAGGACGGGTAGACAAGGTGGTTAAGGAAGATAGCGGATATCTGTCTTCATACTCAAGGTATTGAATACAAGAGGAGGGAGGTTATGATCGAGCTGGATATAATGTTAGTTGGGTGACAGCTGGAGTGCTGTGTGCACTTTTGGTCACCACACTATAAGAAATTTGTGTTAGTACTGGAGGGGTGCAGAAAAGACACACCAGGATGTTTCCTTGGTTGGAGCGATTAAGCTATGAAGAGAGACTGGATAGGCTGGGGTTGAATTCCTTAGAGCAGAGAAGGCTCAGAGGCCATCTGATTGAGGAGTATCAGGTTCTGAGGGGCACAGACAGGATCGATAGGGAGAAATTGTTCCCCTTAGTAGATGGGTCAATAACCGGGGGCATCGTTTTAAGGAGAGGAGCATGTGGTTCAAAGGGGATTTAAGGAAAAAGATTTCTGGAACTCACTGCCTAAAAGAGTGGTAGAGGCAGGAACCCTCAAGACATATAATAATTAATTAGATGATGACCAGGGTGGACACAACGGACTGAAGGGACTGTAACAAGTCTTTGACTCTGCTATTCTCTGAATAGTCGCCCAGGAAATATTAGGTTAAGCATAACAAACACTGATGTAACTACATCACCAACACTCTTAATAACATCCCCACAAGTCTCCTGATGCTCCAACAATACCTCAAACCCTGCTGACTCATACCTTGAACCCCTGATTAGCCCTCCAACCTGACTACCTATCTGATATGATTATCGCCAAAATAATTCAACTAATCACCCTGAACTTCCAATCCAACTACCCATTTGACTACTTGACTAACCTCCCAACCTATCTACCTTTAGCGATGACCTGATGACACACTTACCTTTGCCTTTGACCTGAGCACCCTGACCTTAACCTAACACCTGGCTAAGTCTTCTGAACATTGACCAGCCCTCAATCTAACTACCCTACTGAAGACACAACAACATCCCTAACCAGATGTAATGACCCTTTCCCTTGATTTCTTTATTCTCCTGAATATACCGCTACCCACACCTGCCAATATGTTTGAGACCCACAAGATCGTAAGGGCATCCAATACTGAAAGCAGAAAGAATGTTTCTCATTACAGGGGAGACTCAATCTAGAGGAGCCAGCAATAAAATCAGGGTCTCCCATTTCAGACTGAGGTGAGGAGGATTTGTTTCTCTTGGAGCAAAGTAAATGTTTGTAACTTTCTTCTCGAGACAGTAGTGACTGGAGGGTCATGGGACACTTAAGGCAGAGGTGGATCAATTCTTAACTAACAACAGAGTCAAAGGTTATCAGATATCATAGGAATATGGAATTGAGGGCCCAAACAGATTAGCCATCGTCATGGTGAATGAAAGATCAGGCCAAAAGCCAAATGGCCTTCTGCTAATTCATATGTGCCCCCAATCTGACTAACCCTCCTTAACCTGACCACTCCACATTCAACTACTCACCCACAACCCTATCCAACCTCCCCGCTTTACCAACCCCTCACCCAACTCCCTCCCTTTTACCACCCCCTCACCGGACCTCCCCACTTTACCACCCCCTCATCCAATTTACCCACTTTACTGACTCACTTTACCTCCACCTCAGCCAACTTACCTCTCTCATTCATCCTACCCACTGACCCACCTACTCACTGTAGAAATAAGAGATAATCATTGTTGTGTGAACAGCGACAAGCTTTCTTGAACATGACTTTATACAGAGGATGGTAAGAGAGAATGTGTTCTCTGGAACCTGCAGTTCCCTGTGATCCAATGTCACTATGAACATTTCTGCTTTTGGACATGTTCTATAGCTATACATAGACTAAAGGGAGACTGCACATCTACTGTACATCTTCGTCTATGTTCTTTTGTGGTATCTCTTTTTTAGCATTAACTTTTAGCAGCTTTATCCCATTTTGCTCCCAAGCCCACAAGTTTCCTTTTCGTGATGAGCTTATCTCCTGCTGCATTCTGTATCCTTTCAGAGGATGTGTAGGACAAACGTGATCTCTTGTCATTTCCTTGCAGAGCCAATGGATTTGTGAAATGGATTGGCAATTTCTGATGCTGCCTGGTCTTCGGGCTGTGATGCGAAGACATGAATGTGGCAGCAGTGAAGACAAATCAAAGAAGGAAGGATCCAAAGGAGCAGACTGTACGATTTGAATGACCACACTGTCTTGAAAAGAAGGTCAAAGAAGTCGACATCTCGTTCCCCTCTCTTTCTGCTTAGCTGTCTGCTCTAGGAATGAACATGTCAGATATAAAGTAGCATGGTGGCTCAGCGGTTAGCACTACTTTCTTATGGAACCAGGGACCTGGGTTCAATTCCACCCTCAGATGACTGTCTGTGTGGAGTTTGCACAGTCTTCCTGTGTCTGTGTCCTCCCGCAGTCCAAAGATGTGCAGATTAGATGGGTTGGCCATGGTAAATGTGGGGCTACAGGGGTGGGGTTGGGATAGGTCTGGGTGGGATGCTCTTCTGAGGGTAGGCGTAGTCTCGATGGACCAAATGGCCTGCTTCCACGCTGTAGGATACTACGATTCCATAAAGAAGTGGATGAAAAGGTGATCTGAAGACAATGCTGGAGGTGAGAAGTGAAGACTTCTCCATTACGTCTAGGGTAGGAACTTCCCTTCTGTAGGTGGTCGTATCACATCGACACTTGTGATGACATGAGGCTGCTAAGATGCAGCCATGGACATCACAGATAAACTGCTAAAGCAGGATCAAGAAGAAATTCCACCATGGTACTCCAATCTGAAGATCAACGCGCAAAGCCAACCTTCTTCTACAGGTAGTTTCTGTCAGAAACAGGATCCAAAGATTTTTGTTCTCTGTCTGTCAACATTTTTTGTAAAGAAGATTGTTTTCATCTTCTTCATGGTTCTTGTGTGCAGCATGCAAAGTTTAATTGTGCTTTTTGACCATTAATTTTTAGCTCAGTAAGTCTTCCTGTGGCGGTTAGATTGTGCCAGTTCTTGTTGAGTCTTGATCTGGTCAACCTGGTTTGACCACTGGCCCAGGTTCCACTGCGGATTTAGAGCCAGTGTGTGCAGAATGTGGTTTTGTTTCCACCTTGCTTTGAAAATGAGCTTGTCAACTTCACATCTGGTCAGATGCCAAGATTGCCATATCTTTCCCCAGCTGTGTGACCCTGCCCACAATCATCCTTCATTCCTCTGGCTCTGGCTTGTCTTCCATCAGAGAGTGGACAAACATTCCCTCTCTAAGACTTTATTCTTTGGAATTCTCTCCCAAAACCATTTGGCTTTGCTACTTCTCCCGCAAACGTCCTCATTTCCCGCTCGGCATTCACCACTCCTCTTTTAAACCATTCCAAGGCATGTGGGGAATGTACATAAACACAGTGAATTGCTGGGGGATTTCAAAGTACTGAATTTGTTTTGGGTTTCAACACACCTGAGAGACACTAATCTGTAGTTATGCCCCTCAGCTTTGAACCACAGCCCACACTGCCACCTATGGGTGGTTTCAATAATTAATAAACATCGTGGCAATACAGTGTTTGTTGTACTTGTTTGATTTATTTTCAATCTGTAAAACGTTCTATTCTTGCCACTGAATTTTGCCTCACAGAGATCTTCACCTTCCATTTCTCCATTACCCTTTCTTCTCAGTCCTGAATCATTTGACAATAGTCAGTGTTAAAGAGATCAAAATAATTTAAGAGAAAGATTAAAATAAATGGAAATATATTAAAAGCCAAAGGTACAAGAACTAACACATTGGCATGGATGGAAGTTTGGCTGGCTAACAGGAGATGGAGGGTTGGCATAAATGGGTTATTTAGGGTTTGCAAGAAAAAAATGAGTGGTGTACCAGAGATCAATCAGCATTGTGACCTCAAATGTTCACAATTTAGATTAAATAACTTGGATGAAGGGACAGAAGGTATGGTTGCTAAACTTGCTGATTTGGAAACAAAAGGAAGTAGGCTGTGAAGGGGGCACAAGGGTGCTACAAATGGACGTTGACATGTTGAGTGGGTGAGCAAAGATCTGGCAAATGGAGTATAAAGTCGGAAGATACAACATTCAGAGGTAGTAAGAACTGCAGATGCCGGAGTCAGAGATAACAGAGTGTGGAGCGCTGGAGGAACACAGCAGGCCAGGCAGTGTCATAGGAGCAGGAAAGCTGACATTTCGGGTCAGGACCCTTCTTTTTTCTGAAGAAGGATCCCGACCTGAAACGTCAGTTTTCCTGTTTCTCTCGATATGACATTGTCCATTTTGGTAGGAAAATAAAGAAAAAGCTTATTATCCAAATGGTGGGAGATTGTAGAACGCTAAGGTGCAGAGGAATCTGGGTGTTCCCCTGCGTTAATTTGCAAAGCATTAATATGCAAATAGAGCAAATATTTAGGAGAGCAAATTAAATGTCATCATCCATTGCTATTTTGGAACTGTAATAGTGTCTCTGCCTCTAGGCCAGAAGGTGCAGCTTCAAGTCCCACCTTCTGCGGAGGTTTGTCAGGTTCAAATAGGCTGATCCAAAATACTTCTTTTTATTCTTTTTACAAAAGTGAAAAAGGTTATGCTTCTGTTAGGCAGGGCATTGGTAAGATCACATTTGCATTACTGTGTTCTGTATTGTCTTCTTTTGTTTGGAAATATTTAGATGTATTGGAAGCAGTTTAAAAAACACCCTTCTCTTAACTAATGGATGGGCAGATTGTCTTATGAAAAATATAAAGGTACTTAAACGTGCTACCTCCTCTAGGAGCCTGGTGGTATTATCGCTGCACTGTTACCCAGAGACACAGGTAATTTTCTGGCAGATGGGAACTTGAATTCAATAAAGAATCTAGAATTCAGTGTCCAATGATGACCATGATTGCCAATAGTTGAAAAAACCCATCTGGTTCACTAATGTCCTTTAGGGAAGGAAACTGCCATCCTTTCCTGGTCTGGCCTACATGTGACTTCAGACCCACAACAACATAATTGACTCTTAACTGCCCTCTGGGCAATTAGGGGTGATCAATAAATACTAGCTTAGCCAACTACGCACTCATCCCGTGAATAAATTTTTAAAAAATCAGCATCTGCTGGAGCTTAGGAGAATAAGAAATAATTTGACTGAAATGTGTAAGATCCTGAGGGGTCTGGACAAGGTGCTTGTGGGAAGGGTGTTTGCTCTGATGGGAGAATCAAGAGCTTGTAGTCACTGTTCCACAGTGTGGGTGCACCCATTTAAGACAGAGACAAGGAGGAATTCTTTTCTCGAGGTTATGAGTCTTTAGAACTCTCTTCCTCAAAGGGAGGCAGAATATTTTTGAATATTTTCAAGTCAGAGGCAGATAGATTCTTGGTAACCAAAGGACTGAAAGGTTAAATGCGGTAGGTGGGAATATGGATAGTCAGATCAGACATGATCTTATTGAATGGTGGAGCAGGCTGAAGGGGCCAAGAGACTTATTCCTGCTCTTAATTTTTCTGATTAGACATATGCTCAAAAAAAACTGATTTTAGGCTGCATGGTGTCATTTAGTCAGCTGATAGTGCCCATGCACTCTTGATAAGACCTTCCTTTCGCTGCAAATCCATTTTCCTTTCGCTGCAAATCCACAAGTGCATATTATCCAATGGAGCAGCATGACACTGAGGCTAATTATAAACTTCACACTGCAACATTAAAATTAACAGTTGACCTTCAGCATTAATGGCAGCACATACACCTTCGACCGATGTTTTGTTCTCCTCTTTTAATGCGCCCTGTGGAAACATTGCCACTTGCTGAGCTACAGACCAACACCATCAGCCCCCTCTTTAAATTCCCCATACTTAATTGAGATTACAGTGTGAACAGATAACAGAGGGTTTCACAGCCAAACCTAATCCAATAGCCACAGGCATTATTCTCCAGCAGGAGTTATTGCTCAAAAAGAGGAAGACTAGGTAGTTTTCATTTCCTAATCTAAAGGCATTTGAAACAACTGAAGCAGTTGCCTGCTATATTGAGAAGAGCTAAGCTGACACAGAATTTGGCCATTATTGGTCAATTTAGCTTAATGGATCAGTGCATTTACTGACAAGGTCATCAAGAGCAGCTATTGAGCTCAAAGGGAATTTTCATCTCATCTCCAACTCCTGTGTCTGAAACACACACTACAACACTGTAATGGTGACCCAAAATTAGTTTATGAAGAAAGAATATACTTTCTTGACCCTGGTATAGTCCATCTCAAATGTCAAATTTAATCCTTTGTACTGGAGATTCTATGATTGTAGTCTGGCCTATATGTGATTCCAGACCCACAGCAATGTGATTGACTATTAACTGCCCTCTGGGCAACTGGGGATGGGCAACAAGTGCTGGCCTAGCCAGTGATGTCCATTTACCATGATTGAATTAAAACAAAAATCACGTGAGCTGATACAAGGTAGAAATGCTAAGTTGAGACTCAAAGCCCATGATGCTAAGCATGAAGCTATCATTCACTTCTCTGCCTCAAGAGGCATTGTTACCATATCCTCCCACTGGGATTTACCAATCACTCGATTATCTATTCCCAAGGGAAAAAAGTGGAAAAGTGAAACAAAGTCAAATGAAATGGCGTCTTCTCGTGGGATAGCAAAGGCAGAAAGCTCCTTCCCAACACCCTAATCTCCATCTAAAGTAAATGAGCAGCTCACAGCCTCCTGACTAACAAGGATGCAGAAATTATCCAGAGGAGGTCAGGGGAATATAAATGGCAATAGTTTTGCAATTAACAAGTAATATAACAAACTCATTGAGACTGCTGGCATTTCACAGTTGACGCGTTGACTGATGGATATAAATTCCAAGTCAGATATAGAAGATTAAATATTGTACCCAGTTCAACAATGGCTGTTACAAAAATAGATTCAAAGCAACTTATCTCCTTCTCAGCAGCAGATACTAAAATCGATCAACTCTCTTATCATTCAAAATTCAGTAGAACCTCCTTTTGATACCACTTAAGTCACCTCATAAATAATTAGTTTCAAATAAAATGCAAGAGTTTTATTTTTGTTCATTGATTTTAACATTGGAGAGAATCACGGGATCACACTGCTGCAATGGAATTTACTGTCAAATACATGTATTACTCAGGCAAATTGACTAGTGTTTGTTTATTTAAATTGAAAAGTTTAGTTTTACAAGATATGTAAGTCTCTTGCATCTGTCTATAGACACTGAGTGTCCTCCACCACAGCAGCTTTTTTTGAGCAACATGGCTACAGGGTAAGTCACTCCATTTGAGACTCCACTCTGCTCGCCAGTTCTCTTTCCTTTTCCTTTCTTTTTCTCTTCTTCTTCTTCTTTTTCCTCTCTGCAGTAATTCTATCCCTCCCCTCAATCCCTGGCTTCTTTAACTATCTACCTAAGGAGTTCAGAAGGAGTCGGGTGTCAGCAGGGAACCGCGTGGTGGGAGCCAAATGCGTGCGCCGGAGAGGCGGTGAGAGCGGGGCCGATGAGCGGGCAGTGGGCAGTGAGAGTGGGGATGGTGAGAGCGGGGCTGGTGAGCGGGCAGTGGGCAGTGAGAGTGGGGCCGGTGAGGCGGCAGTGGGCGGTGAGAGCGGGGCCGAAGAGGGGGCGGTGGGCGGTGAGAGCGGGGTCGGTGAGGCAGGGACGGTGAGAGCGGGGTCGGTGAGGCAGGGATGGTGACAGCAGGTCGGTGAGACGGCGATGGCAGTGGGAGCCTCCTGGGTTTCCCAGCGAATGGAGTGGTGTCTGAACCATTGTGGAGATGGGACTTGGGACTCTAAGATCTGAGTTTTCATTTTTTCTTGTTTACCTTTTGGCTCTGTTAAAATCTTTTAATTCAGGTTTTTGTAACCAAGCAGGTGCCAGTGAATTGTGACTTTGTGCACTTTTCGCTGTACTTATGCATTCCCATATGTAGTACGTGTGACAAATAAATAAATAATAACAAATGATACCAAAACCTGTACTGAAACTCAATCTGGGAGTTAATCAGTCCTTGTATGAAACATTTCTTGGTATAATTCCCAAGCTTATTTTCACCACTTTGTATGTATGTCTTTTTGATCTGCATAATTTCTATTCTGTTTCCTACCTTAGATCTCTTAGGAGATTCCCCGTCCATTGCCATGTCTCAAGGTTTACGTGTTTCTAGACTTTCCTTGTAACTTAGTCCTTTGTTACAGAGTGAGGGTATCATCACCCTTCCCTTAATGCACCTAGAGATCAGATAACTAGAACTAAATGCAAGATTCAAGATGCCAACCGACCACAATCCAATGGTTGGGTGATAGAATCAGCTTTGCACTTCACTGATTTGGCTCAAGACATCTGCATTCTGTTCAATGTTTGCTGCTCTTTTACTGGTGATGCAAACTGTTCACAATACCTTTCCCTGATTTTGTTCTCTCATATCTGTGGTTAAATGGACATCATCAAGTAAACATCACGTACATACACATCCCCTCAAATTTTTTGCTTCGATTTCAAAACCTTGTCACTTATTAGTGCTGAATTCCATCGAGCAATGTCCCATTCTACTGTCCAGGCCCTGCTGTAGTTCTTTGACAGTTTCAGGTTCAGATTCATTTGCAATCCCAATCATCATCTGAAAACAAGCAGTGGATGTCAGAGTCAAAGTTGTACATTATAGATTGGACACTGTTATAATTCCCTTCGTTGGAAGTTTTCTGCAAGTATTGAAACACTGCATTGGAGGACTTATTGACATCTGCCTGTGTCATTTTTACAACAGAAAAACTAAATGAGTTAATCAAACATGATGTTAAGTTTCTGAAAGTATTTTGGCCAGCATTTCCAAGGCTTTTTTTTTCCACAAAGGCAATTCTCAAGATTATTCATAATGACTGTTTTTGTTATTTTTATCAGTTACTGATGAAGACAAGTTGGAATCTGCAAGTCTACCTGGATTTCCTTTCTTTTTAATGTCAGTACGAAGTGCTGTGTCTTTTTCCAATCCGCACGGATTTTCCCTGTATTCAGTGGCACAGTGGAAGATACAATGCATGTGGTATACTTTTCAGAAAAGGTACCACACAGGCGATTTTGGAGAGCATTGAGGGTTATAAAATTAGAAGAGGGAGCAAACTGAACTGAAATGTGGTTACAGGGAAGAAGGAAAGAGTCAGAGTTGAGGGCAATTTCTCGGAAGTTGGAAATGGGTAAGAGGTGATTCTCAGAATCTGTTCATTGTGTGCAATGATTTGGTTATAGGGCTGGATGACAAGCTACCTTAAAGTACTTCAAAGTTTATTCTTCTAAATGTTGTTAACATCAAAAGGTACACTAACAAATTAATATGTAACAAAAATTTGAATTCAGGACTAAAATGATGGAGGAAAGATTTGTGTTTCCATGACTGACATGATAGAATAAAGAAAGCAATAATTCAAATGCAGCCTGTGAAATTATTTCACAGCAAACTTCTCTTTTGTTTAAAAATTCCAAACAAGAAAATATTGTGATTTTTTTTCTCTCCCTCAGCCTGAAAAATTCAAAACTATGGTCCCAAAGCTGAAGTGGAATATCAAATGTTGAGAAGTGATTTGGTTGAGGATTTTAGGGTTTTGAAAGGAATTAAAGTGATAGACAGAAGAGAAAGAAAGAAAATGAAGGTGGGGAAGTCTAGGAGAAGGGATTGTAACCTTAAAATCAGAGATAAGACTATTCAGGAGTAGTGAAGAAGATATCCCTTCCACAACAAAAAACAATATCAACATTTTCAATTAATAAATCTGAAATAGGTTTTTATTAGCTCAAGATATGGAACCAAGGTGGGAGATTGAGGTTAAGATCAAGATTAGCTACAACCTAAATAAAGAACAAACTCAAGGGTCTAAATATCTAGCTGTTCCCAGTTGAATTGTTAACACCACTAGTAGAATGTAAAAATAGAAAGATAAATTTATACATGCAGCTGAGGTTATAAACAGGCATAGGAATTTATAACAAGAAAACATTGACACAAAAATAGACCTACAGAAAGTTAGGACTCCAGTAAATGTGATTTTTGACGTTATAGATGGATACCTAAATATATAGCTGTAATTAAACTATTTTTCTATAGTACAGTACTCATATAATTTTCATGAAAACCTTTTATACATCTAATGATATGCTTCCTTCCTTTCATCATATGTAGCGCACAAAGAGTGGGTAACTGACTGAAAAGCACAAATTACTGGCTTGGATGACCAAATTTCAAAGCATATTTGAATATGCCTCTACTTGTGTGACATTGCCAACTATTGATCAGAAAGGTAGTCGTAATTCCAGCTTTGAGTAAATATTCAAAACATTGGTTTCTGAACAAGCCATGAGAATGAGAAAAGCCAAGAATTTGCTGAAAATGAAGCAAAGTGAAGACCAGTAATGGACACCTCACCTAGGGAATACTAGGAGCAACATTTCGTCAGATGAAACATCATTCCTTACAGTTTGATAAGAAAACAAGTGGATTATTGAAATACTTTGGAGCTTAGACATTTCCCGACAAGTAATATTCTTAGTCGCTACAGTCAAATTAGGTTTTTTTTAAAATTGAATTGACAATCCCTTCAACAATTGCGAAAGCCAGAGGGCTGAATATTCCCAAGCCTCTGTGTACAATGTGGGCAATGCTGTGTCAGTTGGGAAAATATGACGTGATTGGGAAAAATTAGATTCTTGACTTTGAGGAAAAGAAGTCCAATTTTCCACCCAAGTTTTGAGCAGAGACGTAAAGTGAGCAGGGAGAGGCTGATTGCTTGTGTTTGCATAGCATAATTACCTATTTTCACCTCATATATACATAGTTTCTATTCTTCCACATGGTGGAGAGAAGCTGATATGAAAGTCAGAGTAGGTGGCTCCTGCTCACTGCTTGACCGATGCACCCATCCCCCAGCAACCCCCTTTCCCATCAAACCCCTCCTCTAGGCCTCATTTGGGACAGTCATCTACGACGCCTCAGGGCATGCTCCATGGGTAGCAACCACCCACACAACTTGTCCACATAGGTTGGCATCAAGCACCTACCAGCCTCATCATATCAGCCTGTCACATCTCCAGCTCCATTAGGACACTGTTGACCAGCAAAATACAGCAATTTGGAGCACATCAATATCCTTCATTGTCAAGCTGTTGCCAGGCCCACTTTACTAGCAGGGTCAGGCACCCATTTCATGGAGTGGAACACTATGCACCTCAGGGATCTTCACGTGATTCGTCAGCATTTACCACCCATGCCTACTTGCACGCTCACAGCATCTCCACTTTGCCTTGTTCTTGCTTCTTTGCATATTGTTGCCTCATTTAGAACTTCCAGGCTCATAGTTCTTCAGTCTTGCCTTGCCTTTAAAGTAGACAAAATCTTATCACGGTTGTCAGCAGTGGCCAGTCAAGGAGGCGGATGTGTTACATATGTGATTCTTCGACTGGAAGTTGCCAAGATGCCTTGAGAACATTCATCTTCCTGTTTCAAGGGTCAGATCCCTTACAAGACTGGTTACTGGGAGACATGGTGGCTCTGTGGTTAGCGCTGCTGCCTCACGGCACCAAGGAACCAGGTTTGATTCCAGCCTTGGGTGACCATCTGCCTATGTGGAGTTTGCATGTTCTCCCTGTGTCTGTGTGGATTTTCCGGTTTCCTCCCACAGTCCAAAGATGTTCACTTTGGGTGGATTGAATGTGCTAAATTTCCTT